TGATATTCTCTAAGTTTGAGGTTACATAGAGAGTACCAATCTTCTTACCACGAGTAATGACGAGTGCTCATTTGGTAATCTTTCATTCAGAGCCTGAAAAAGTTGTAATATATCTTTCTCCATCAAGTTGTCCAACAGAAATCAAATTCCTTTTGAGGCCATGAATATGTCTCACTCCTTTCAGCTTCCAGGTGGTCTCGTTTTGGCAACTTTAATCGGATGTCTCCTTTTCCGGTGATCTTCAAGGTTTTATCATCGGCTTGATGAACCTTCCCAAAATCACCACTAGCATAGTTCTCCATTATTTCTCGGCATAGGGTGGAGTAGAAAGATGCCCCTGAATCCAAGATCCATGATTCAATCGGACTGTTGACGCTTAGAATCATGGCATCACCTGTCTCCTCTGTCACGTTGGCAAAATCCCTTCTTGTCGTAGTTATAACAGGTAAAATCTTTCTTTCCCGTTCTTGATTTTCCCCTTCTGGATTTGGATCTACCACGATTTGAATTTCTTTATGAAGTTCTCCCTCTGGACTCCGTGTGCAAGGCTGGGGAGGTTGATGCTTCACCCGATTCTCTCCGTCAAATTTCTTCTCTCAGTACCAGATCCCGAACATCGTCGAATTTCAATTTACTATTTCCCGACGAGCTGCTCACTGCTGTAATAATAGCATTCCAACTGTCTAGTAGAGATGATAAGAGAATTAAAGCTCGAACTTCATCATCGAATTCAATTTCCACTGAACTCAACTGGGTTGTGATTGTGTTGAGTTCATTTAGGTGTTGAGCCACTGATGCCCCTTCCGTCATCCGCAAATTGAATAATCGCCTCATCAAATGAACTTTGTTTGAGGCCGATAGCTTTTCATACATACTGGAGAGAGCCGCCATAAGACCCGACGTGGTCTTTTCCTTTGCTATGTTGAAAGCAACATTGCGGGATAACGTCAGTCGAATAACTCCGAGGGCTTGTCTGTCGAGAAGAGCTCAGTCTTCATTTTTCATACCCTTTGGTTGCTTTCCTGAGAGGGGTTGATATAGATTTTTCTAGTACAGAAAATCTTCGATCTGCATCTTCCAAAAGCCAAAGTCCGCACCATCGAACTTTTCAATTTTCACCTTCCCTTCGTCTGCAGCCATCGCTCCACTCGAATCTGGCTTCGTTTGGATCGTTTCTGACAATTCTTGTGAACCACTGTGTATAGGAACACCTCCGTCGATAAATTCGTACCACCGAAAAAAAATTTACTATTCACAAAATTTACTATTCATTTGAATAGTAATAAATAGTAACCTCGCAAAAAAATTAACAAAATTCACAACCAAAAGCTCTGATACCAGTTGTTGGGAAATAAACTCAATACGAGTAATTTCCCTATAACCAGATTAGTGAGAATGCGAAATAAAAACGGAAAAATAATACCCGAAAAATTGATAACGGAGTTCAGTCAATTGTGTCTACGTCTTCGGACTGCTGCAGATCTTTTACTAAGAGAGAAAATTTACATATGTTTACAAAACACTCACTACTCACAAGAAAACTCTCTAGTATTGGGAGGAAGAAATGATTTTTGGGATGATTTTGAAGCTAAATGGGCTAGGATATTTATAGTTGAAGGTTAAAGACTAATCTTGTAAATATCCTAAAATATGCAGTAGCTAAAATGTAATAAATCCTATTATATTTTTAATAAAGAATTAGCGGTGCCCCCTTTATTGAAAAATACATTAGGCATGCCCCCCATTTTTGCCGACCATTTGACTTTACAAATCCGACAATGAAAATTATTGCAAAGCCTCCCCTAATCGAACGCTTCTCTGTCTTCCTATGTTGAAAACACAGACTACCATGGAACCAAGCCCGACCAGACTCTTGTTTTTTTAGGGTAGATTATATATTTAGTCACACAACTATCACTTTATTTTTTGTTTTGATCATTCAATTATTTTCTTTAAAATTATCATCGATAATATTATGTTTTAACTTCATTTCGTTCATTCGACGTTAAAAAATTAACAAAACTATTGATGTAATATATTTTAGATTAAATTATATATTTAGTACTTAAACTATTAGTTTTGATTTGTTTTAATATTTAAAGTTTTAGTTTTTTAAAATCATACCTAAAGCTTAATTTTTATTTCATTTTAGTACCATGTTGTTAAAAATTTAAGGGGTTTAGTACCTAAACTATCAATTTTGGTCTATTTTAGTACGTTAACTTTCAATTTTATCAAAACTTAACGTTAAATTTTGAATGGGTACTAAAATGAAACAAAAATTAAAGTTTTTAACGGTGGGTTATTAAAATGAAACAAAAACTAATCTTTATATATGGTTTTGAAAAAAAATGAAAGTTTAGGTACTAAAATAGATTAAAACTGATAGTTTATATACTAAACGTGTAATTTATCCTATATTTTATTTCATTTTTAATGAAAACGTGATATTTTTTTAATGATATTTTATAATAACAAATCAATCCCAATTATTCTTTTAACGATACGGGATCAAAATAAAAACATTATAATTAGACACCAATTTAACTTCAATAATTGGATGCCAATCCAAAATTAAAATTGAGCATTATGATTGTAAGGGACAATCCTAAAGTTTATGTAAATTATAATCTTCTATATCCTAAACTCTGTAACAACGATAAGATATTACCATTATTATGGTCACAATCGTAATAAACATCACACGATCAAACAGTTCAGTTTAAGTGTTGTGATCAGACAGTGGGAATTGGGGAGAGTTGGAAGGAGTGTATGAGGTCGGAGTCCGGCAAGTCGAGAGGCGGCAGCGAAAAGTGGCCGTAAGTAGAGCTTCCTCTCCTAATCTCTTGCATGCTTAACAGAGCCGCCACCGTGTTCCTGAAGATTCCTGTCCCTGCTACCGTTATAGCTTCTCTTTGTTCCTTCACAATTCCTTCTTCTACTTCCACAGGGAACGCTTCATCAATGGTGTTTTCACATTCCTTGACCAGCCTCGAAACGAGATCGGTTACGAAAAACGGCTGCTGCAGCACTTTCTGAATGAAGGGCAACCGCAACAATCTGCCGGTTCGCTTGTCGTATTTCTTCAATATCTTAGCCAAACCTACACCACCACCAAAACGTTGTCTGGTAAACATATGAATAAATATTGAAGACAAGAGTATCACACAGTGAATACCTGTGTAATTGATATTGCTGTAATTCACTAAGAGGACCATTTCGCCATGGAAATCGACCATGTCTCTTCGAACTCTCGCCAGTTCGTCTTTATATTCTGCTTCTGAAGGCTTGGTTCCATTGGGACCCCATGTATTTATAACTCTCTTTATCCTCTGTTGCAATTCCTGAATATATACATCCTTGGCAGGTCAAGCACTTTCCAAGTGATCAAAGCATATATAAGGGTAAACCACACAGATGGTTGCTGCTCTTTGAATAAGTTTTCGTTCCCCCCCCCCCCGGGCAGTTTCAAAACTATCGAATTAGTCACTAACGAATCAACCATGAGTGACGGAAACGTTAAACTCACCTTATGCCGGATGATAAAATCTTCCTCTTGTTCCAAAAAGAAGGCATTAAACTTGTCGATCTCAATGTTCAACAAGTAGACGAATTCAGCCTCGGCATCCTGCTTTGCGTACTCGGGAGACTCGGTCGAAGAAATCAGTCGAACCAGCTTTTTCAACTCTTTGTAAGATAAGAACTTGTCCCGCCAAGCCGGTAACGTTTCCTCGATTTGCTGCTTTAATCTCTTCCCGAACTTCATACTTGAAGAAGAGAAGACAACCCCCCTAAAGAATCAAATGAAAAAGAGAATGGTAATGGAGAAAAAATGGTGGATGAACCGGTTTTAATAGCAAAAGAGTGATAGAATATGGAAGAGCATATGCTTTGGCGTGATGAAGTGAAGAGTTAAGTAAAGGTATAATAATAGTTGAGAGGAGAGAATTCCTGAGCATATTCGATGGTCATTGTATTAAAAGTCATTCACGCGAAAACACCCTTAAATCAAGGCCCAATGAAAATGCTTTTTAACAGATTAACTTTTGTTTTTGGGTAACACAGATTAACTTTTAATACTTTAGTATTATTGATAGGCGTGTATATGCATGTATACATGGGGGAATGCAGGAACGGGGAAGACGGGTTGAGGAAAGACTAAATTTACGAGCTGGTGAGCAATTTGAGTCAATCAGGGTCGAGAACCACAATGAAACTCCATGAAATGGGCCCTCCTCGTTGTCTTCGTTGTGGGGGGCTGTGACAGATGTACGAGTGAATGGCTGTCAAGTTAGCGTAAGCAAAGAGAGAATAAGGAAGATTCTGGGAATGATTCCATAGGAAAATGATTTACCAAAGCTACTCCCAACTCTGTATGTTTGCCGTTACCATTAATATACGTTAAAAACATGCTCCAAACGTAACGATTCTAAGAATGTCATTTTAACCAAAAGCGGATGAAAATTATAAAATAAAATAAAAACTTTATAATTATCTTTGGTAAAATGAAATTTTCTATAAATCTCCGTAATAGCAATGTTGGTAATATTTTATGTTATATAAATAATTTATGACGACAATTCAACTAATGATAAAAAAATGACTCAAAAACAAATTAAATTATTTCAATGGTTAAAATGATAGTTATTATCCTTATAGATTTCGGGTTCGAGCATATCATATATTAGAGGTGTTTGAACATTCATTGTTAAATAGATTGAGTATGTTTCGAACAAATACTACTTGTATTCACCTTACTAAAAAATGTGTATATCCACTATTATGATTGAAGTTTTTTTTTAAAGTATCTCACAACAAGATTTCATAATCATTAAGCTACCTTACAAGATAAATTTGAAGGATATTTTGTGCTGTTATTAATGGACCAAGTCCAATGACTAATAATTCAATTTTACTATATAAATGAGTCTATTTCATTGATTTAAATATAGGAGTTTGCCCTGATAAAAAAAATGCAATCAAACAAGTTGAGTAATAAATTGTAAAAAGTACGAGTTAACTAATTTATTATGCTCAGTATTTGCTCTACTAGCTTCGAACAATAAAAAGATATACTGTTCCCTTCACGTCACTTCTACATTGCCAAATTAAGACAGAAATGTGAAGTGAAACAGAATTTTGCTCAACCCAGCAGGTTATTCCTTTTGCTCCTCCAGATCAGCCTCTTTTGACCCTTCCCCTAGTTCCCCCAAATTGTTGTTAGATACTGGCTCTGTTTTCGCATCTTTTTCTGATGTTGACGATGTTGCACAAATAGGGTTATCGATGCCAGAAATGTCGGGCTTATTCTCCAAGACTAAAGCTCCATCCCCCATCTTAACATCAGTTCCTGTAGATGCAACGATAGTTTGTTGCTGACTCATATCATTCTTTTCAGATTCTGAAGTTTGACACACAGCTTTGTTATTTCCTGCAAATGGTGGTGCTTCAGTTTCTGCCTTCAGGGACACTTCCCTGCTCGTTTCTGATGTGACCAATGAACCTTGAATGAATTGATGCAGATGTTGCATTTCTGAACTCGATAATGGTATTTGTGATGGTACCAATGTTGCTGATGGTAGAGGTACCTGCGGGGCTGCTGCTAACCCAGGGACCTGAGCTTGACTAAGGACATAAGTCAACAGCTGAGCTAAAACAACTTGTGGGTCAGTCAAATCTTGTTGGGTTTGGGGGATGAAGGAAGATGATGGAGCATTCAAATTAGGAGGATAAAGTGCCTGAAGCCCTTTTTCTCCATACAAAGCCTGGTGCCCTTGAAACTTCTTCATATTTGCAGTGTGCTTTTTCCCAGCCAAATGGCTGTCAAAAACCACCTGAGATTCACACTTGACATTACACAACTCACAAAAAAAGGGAATACCTCCTACTGGCTTGGGAGGCTCAACTGGTCTTCGAGGTCCTTCATTGCTTTTCTTATGTTTACCCCCTCGTCCCCCCCTCATCTTGCGCTTGGTACCACGTCCCCGAGCTTCAGATGGACCGTTTAATTTCCTGTTAGTTGATGCAGGACCAATAATTGATGCTTCAGACTTATTCGTTATGTCTTTCTGCTGCTCAGTTTCTTTCTCCTTGTCGTCAGTAGTTGGCAAGGACGACAAAGCTTCCAGTTGATGTTGCTTTTCCTGGTCAGATCCCTCAACTTTCTTGGATTGAGCAACTTCTGATCCTGTATTGGGCACTTGCACACTTAGATGTGGAGTAATGACTTTGTTCACCCTCTGCATCTCTTCCTGTAACTTCATGTTTTTCTTATGTCGCTTTCCATTCTTATGCTGCTCCAGGATTTCTGGTGTGTTGCAATCAACTCTGCAAAGTTCACACCAAGCCATACGTGGAGGCGGCCAGACTGGAGCAGCAGGCACTTGGGGCGGCAATGTAGCTTGACCAGGAACTAATGTTGAAGGTGGCATTGCAGCAGCACTTGGCTCCGATACAGTATTTGGAATTGTTGATGTCACACCAGTTGAAGCAAAGTGCAGGCTGCCACTACGTCGACCCCTACGAGAAGGTGCAGAGCCATCAGGTCTGATGCCACGGTTACGAACATGACCCCGGCCGCCTCCTCTAAAAGGCTTACCACCCCTTCTTCCACCCCTATAAGTAGTTTGTATCTGTAGAATAGAGTCACAGTTGAGGGGCAACATGAAATGACATGATTACTAAAATCTACGAGATCGAATTGAATCAAAATAATGAGGTTAAACACATTCTCAGAAAAGGAATTAAATTAAAACTTATCAAATTATGACATGGATTTTGAACTTGATCAAAAACTAACAATACAAGAAAAAAATCCAATTGTTAATGCACGGTAAATGTAATCATTATTAAGCTTAACGAATATGAGCCATAATAAGACTAAAAATTAAAGCTACTATAAGAATATTCGACCAAAGAATCTGAATTAGTACCAAAATCATACTCATAAGAATGTTGATCCAAGAGAGAGTTCTGAGAATGATGCATGAAAGGGTATACACACTTTAAATAGAAAAATTGCTCCCGTGTACACAAAAGCAAATATTTTAAGGTCACAAAGAAGAAGAGCATGATATTCAAAGTCATAGCATAGCTTGAAATGTCCACAAGAAAACTTGGCATGCTGCACATTAGATACTAAACAATGAACCTGTATTCTCTTGATATATATCATCAAACAACAAAAAAGTTGAAATTTCTATACATAACACCTATATAATGTTATTTCAATTCAATCCAGGGTTCAGTGAACCTAATATTGATTAAAAAGGTGATATTCAGATTATCAACATGAGGAAATTGATTATATTTATAAAAAGAAGCAGACAATGCTGCATAAAGATGGTAGGAAAATTATACAAAGTAACATCTAGATGATTCAAGGATTTAAGTCCTCCAAACATCATGGCAATATACTACTTAAAATGGAAAAAAAAATCAGCTGCATTATCAGGGCATAACCAGAATAAGACATTTAAAAGCTAAAATCCATGAGTGGCTGCAAAAGCTTTTTATTTAATATCATCGGGTAACTTCCCTTCTGTAGAGGGTTGAGATCACTTAGCCTGTAAATTAAACAACCTAGGCTCTAAAAGCTATAATTACTTAGAGCTGATAGGACCTTACTATGGAGATAAAGTCATATATGTAAGAAATGAAAGTCCTTATGGTGGAATGACATGTCTTCAATGACAAGGGAAACAAGGGAATGATATAAAGGAAAGACCAACAAGAAATTATTCACCAAAAGGACTTTCAAAGTGCTCCCTGTCTAAAGCTTGGTCAGTATCAAGATAAAAGGTGATCCAATAATCCTTGAGACCTCAGAGGGTGCCAAAATACTCTGGTTGAAAATTGTCATGCAGTTAAGCAGCAGACGATGCACAAAGATGGCTCAGTATGATTATAATTATGATCCACAAACTAAACCAAACAATAGCAATCAAACCCCACAACACTGATCAGTAAATTATTGAAGGTTGTAGCATGCAAAAAAAATAGTTTGTAAGAAAGAAATTGCTTGAGTCAATGGAGCACAGAAGAAAAGGGTGCTCACTGGCCACAATCCCTGGAGCAACCAGTAAAGAATAATCATCACTCATCCATAACATGGAACCCAAAGTTATAGCCACATGTTATTACAAACTTGTCGCTTAGATTACTGCCCTTACCTAATTGCTCTAGAGATATGTGACCAATTAAACTGTTCCATCTTCTAATATCTTGCAAGAAAAGGGATGAGTGCCAAGAGTTCAATACCTATAGGCTCTGTTGACCAATGAACATTCCATACCTGATAGAGCATTACACGATACTTACCCCAATGTCCAATATAAATGAGATCACTATTATGGCAGCCAAGCAATTACAAAGCATCAACCTAGCATAAAGACTACGGTTAATAAAATAGACAACTCCAATAAGTATGTAAAAACTTGAGGCAAGCCACCCTGAGCCAATCGGTGATATCCTTGAGCTCCTCGGAAACTCAATAAGAAGTGGTTGGCCCCGAAAAAATCATCTTTGAGCTAATCTCGATTGGGCTTAGCCCTGCTCCTCTAACGAGAAATCTTTGCTGTACAGTTCTATTAATTTGCTATAGAATACCAAGGCTATTAAACAAGAAGCAAACTAGGCCCGGCCAAAAGTAGCATTGGTACTGTACAGACAAACAAATACAAATTGGATACAGCAAAGATTTAGGAAGGTCATATGTTGTTGCTTAAGGCAGGCTCATTTTAACTTAGAAACTGGGCATGTGCTAAACTGAGCCATTTCTAGGCAACTCATTCTGATACGGTTCAAATCTTAACTCAATTTCAAACACATTGCATCAACCAACGAACATTGAGAATTCATCTGGCAACAAGTTTCAGAAGGAAAGCATGTTTGAAACCGTGATTTGAACCATGTATGCGGAAATCCAATTAAAATCACAAGATTAGAAAACAAGATTCAACCCTATAGCTCGTGAGATAAATTGAATACGAATATACTTATACAAAAGAACCCTAACCTGAGGAGGCGGGTTATTCCCCACAAAACTCGCCATTGCACCGGCGGAATCCGAACCTGGGACCGGGATTACTGGATGCTGTTGAATATCCACCGCAGGCTGCGGTTGATAATAAACGGCGGGCTGATTGTGGTGGACAGATTGGTCCAAGGGAACACCGGGAGGGTGCATCGGAGCGGGTTCTTGATAAAACTGAGGGTAATGTTGGGAATAATAATCTTGAGGAGGGTAATACTGGTATTGTTGCTGGTGCTGTTGATTGGCGTAGGCGTAGTATGAGGCGGCAGATTGATGATCGTACTGTGAAGAATCATATTGATATGCCTGCTGCTGCTGCTCCGCCGGGAATTTCATTGTTCTTCTGCACCTTTTCTTTCAACGAAAGAAAATTGTAGATTAAAATGAGAAACAAAATGGGGAAAAGTGTTATGTCTATTGTCTCTAGACTGGAGAATTTGTAAGGGATTTTGCTTGTTGAACGAACGGTGAAATTGGTGTAATAAGTAAAAGGCTTAAAATAAAAATAAGTGATTAAACTATACTCAAATTAATTTTGAGTGTCTAAATAATTTTTCGTTAAAATTATATATCTAATATTTTTTTTATTTCATTTTATGTGTTCAGACTGTAATCACCGTTAAATGACAAGTGTCATGTTTAAGTAGTTTTGATTTAAAAAAAGCCAAAATTATATTTTTAGAAAACCCTAAAGTTTTCAAAAATCTTTTAAAAAAACTAAATTTTGAAAAATCCTAAATCTAATTCTTATATCCACACCCATCGTTGTCTTTTTCGTCGTTACCGTCGATTGAACATCCATCCGATCGTGCCCAGGGATGATAATTTAACTCGAATCTAGCAGGTTTCAACTCAACCCGCTCTGATAGGGTTAATTTTTAAAAAAAAAGGGTTAGAGTCAGGTCGGGTCAAATTTTTTAAGGGCTGATGTCAGGTTAGGGTTAGGGGTGAAAACACTTTGACCCGACATGACCCGAGGATAACAATACAATTTCATTAAAAAGTATTATTATTTAATTAAGTTCTTATTTTATATCAGGTTGGATTGGGTTTATACTCTAAAATTTCAGATCAGGTTGGAATCATTATGGGGTATATGTTTTTCAGGTCGACTTGGGTCAGGGTCGGGTGGAGGATATATATTTTCGAGTTGGGTCGGGTTGGGTTGAGGAAAAATTTGACCCTAACCCGACTCGTTTCCATCCTTACTCAAGCCTCCAATCTACGATCATTTTTGCGACAAAGAGCCACCACAATTGGAGCCAGCGAGAGCTGAATCGAGATCATCATTTCGTCGGATTTACCATTGATTTCATCGTCGGTTAGTGTTTTTTCGGGTGTCTGTTAGGGGATAAATGACTGTCGGGTGAAGTCACGTTCGGGAGTAGGCTCGATCAACTGCAACGGCAACAAAAGCGGCGACCGACGTGGGTATAGGATTGAAATTATAGTTTTTAAAGTTTTTGGGTCTTTATAATATTTCTAAAAATTTTGGGCTTTTTAAATAGAAAATATTTTTAAATTTAAATTATTTTTAAAAATTATCAAAATGTGACACATGTTACTTAACAAAGTTTTTTAATGGCGGTTACGACCTGGGCACCTAAAATAGTAACTGAGAAAACGATAGACACCTACTTTTAAAGAAAAATTCTTTAGGCACCAAAAGTTAATTTTATAGTATAGTTTAGGCACTTACTTTTGTATTAAGCCAAAATAAAACTATTAAATTACTTTTATTTTAAAATAAAGGGTAAATTCATGTTTAGTACCTAAATATTAATTTTATTCCATTTTGGTACCTAAACTTCATCTCTTTTCAAAACCATACCTAATGTTTAGTTTAAGTTTCAATTTGGTATCATACCGTTAAAAAATTAACAGAGTTGTTGACGTGACATTTTTTATCTTTACAATGATGAAGTGATATTAACTTATGGTGAGAAGTTTAAAGCACTGTTAAGTTTTACCTAATGTTTAGTTTAAGTTTCAATTTGGTATCATACCGTTAAAAAATTAACAGAGTTGTTGACGTGACATTTTTTATCTTTACAATGATGAAGTGATATTAACTTATGGTGAGAAGTTTAAAGCACTGTTAAGTTTTTAACAGTGGGTACCCAAATGAAACTTAAACTAAAAGTTATGTATGGTTTTAAAATAAAATAAATTTGGATACCAAAATGAAATAAAAGTAATAGTTTAAGTACTGAATATGTAGTTTACCCTAAAATAAAATAATTATCACTATAACTTATTTTACATAATATTTAAATAATATATTATTATTTGATATAATATTAATAAATACTAATTATTTTATGAACTGTAATTAGATTATATTAAGTGACATGAATCTATTGATTTCAGTAGTTAAGAGATTATTGTTATCCTTTGAAATTTCAGGTTCAAGAATGATGTCTGCAGTGGTTAGGGTTGAGTACTGAAATTGAGAAAACTGAACAAATCGATCCAAATCAGAATATGTAGTTTGGTTTGATTCAGATTTTTCAATTTATAGTTCTGTAATGCCCCAAAACTCGGGTTAGTAGTTCGGGTAAGCCTGAAACCCTTAAATCAGACCAAAGAACCTAATAAAATAGTTAGATTGGGTAAATTAGGGAGTGGGCTGAGTTGGGCCCAAGGATATATGGTGATTTTGATTGATTTTGGAATCAAATGGGCTAAAAGTATAATTTACCCAATTTTATTTTGAAAGCTTAAAAACCATTCTAGGTTATTTTTGTTAAATTCAGGTTTTATGAAGTGTTTTAATATCTATTTTCCTCTCGTAGTTAATTTAGAATATCTTTTTTCTTATCTTTGTTTAGTGAAAGAAGAGGATGAAAACTCAAAAGTTAAAGGAAATGAGAAAGTACCTCTTGAGTGAATTGAGGACATGGTCATTAGTCAAGAAGGTTAAGATAACCACACTTACAACTCTCTCATACTTATTAGAGGGTCATTAGAAGTGTTAGATAGTATAAAAGTTGAGAAATAAGCTTGATGAGCGTGTTAATGGTAGATCAATGTTTTATGTTATAAGTATGTTTTGAAACCTTATTTATGACCCTTATTGATCACATAAGACATAAATAATAATTGGGAACTTCATTGTAGCAATGTGGGTGAGTTTGGGTGTAAAATTTGAGCCTAAGTAAGGCCTTTTCGAGCAGGGGTATCAGTATTGTAAGAACAATAATGATACTGTTCTTCAGGAAATGTAAAATTGGCTTAGCTTGAACAGGAGTATCGATACTCCTTCAAGATATTGAGGAATTTTTTAAAACATCGAAGCTAAATTTGGTATCGGTACTCATGGGAGTAACGATACTAAGATTATTTTCAAAACATCGAATCTAAATTTAATATTGATACCCCGTTTAGTATCTGTACCCTAGCTTAGAAGTATCGATACTAGGCAGTGAGTATCAATATTATTCTTTTTCAAAGCATGTAATAATATGGTTAAGTGTCGATACCTAAGGAAAAATATCTATACTAAGAGGTCAGTATCGATACTGAAAGGTCAGTATCGGTACCAATATATATTTTAATTTAAGGATTTTTAGGGGTTTGTAATAGGGAAATGAGGTTCCAAGAATTCTATGATTACTCTCAAATAAGACTACAAGTTGAAACAATAATAACATTAAATCAAACGTAGAAACAAGATAAAGTAGGGATAAAAAAAACTAGCATTGTTTAATGCTCGGGAAATGATTCGGACACCCGAGTTCCTTTAATTTGGGATTTTGAAAGTATAGAATCAGTCTAGATATCCTTAGGGAGTGCGCAATGCACTTTAAACCGACTAGCTAGGGCACAAGGTCCGACACTCACAAAAGGTGGGCTAGTCGAGGGTGTGGTGTCAGATGTAGAGATTCTGGGGGCTACATCCTCGGTAGACTAGAGGGGTGGTGAGCTCCGGGATGCAGAGATCCCTTAGTCGCACCATGATGTCTACCATAGCTTAGAAAGTGGGTATCTCAAGGATACTTACTAATGTTTGAGGTTAAATAGATTCATTATATCTTTTTATCAGTTGTATAAGACCCCTGTCATTATGGTTTAGTTGTTAGTGTAACACTGGGCTAGTAAGCTCAGTATTTGGAATTTGTTTCCTTACGCAGATTCTTAGGTGAAGCCTTTGAGGAGATGTATTGCATATTTGATCAGACCCAGATTTTGAGAGCAGAGTATGTCTCGATTCTTATTAGAGGGCATGTATATTTGTAACTCTTATTTGAGTCGTAAATTATTTTAAAACACAGTCCATACATTTTGAACTGTATTTTGAGAGCTCCTAATGTAAATTGTTTTGTACGAATGTGTTTCCTTCCAGCATGATAAAAAAAATTTGGTCAGCTACTTCGGTGGTTCCTCGTGGTGCTCTTATCGATCGATTGTGTGTCGTACTGGTGTAGGTTGTTACAGGTTCGGTTTTGGTTAGGTTTAAATAAAATAAATAAACAATTTGGTTTGGTTTCGATTTTTCCATGAACGATTTGAACCGAATCAAAATGAATAAAAAAATTAAGCATCCAAAAAATTAATTTTGAATTAATTTAAATAAGTAAAATTTTAAAACTAATAATATTTTTTTAAAATTTAAATTTATATATTTGCACTCGATTTAAGATTTAAATTTAATTTTTTCAGAGGTTGAGTTTGAAAAATAGTGAATCGTTAAAAACCGTAAAACCAAACCGAAACGAAAACCGTGATTTTTATGTCTTTCGATTTCAGTTTCAAATTTTAAAATCTCGAAAAGTGCGGTTCAGTTCATATTTTAGTGAAAAACTAAACCGAACTAAATACACCCTTAACAGTGGTATATGAGCGTTTACTGTCAAATAATTAAGAATCTATCAAACTTATACTAATGAAAAAATATTAAATATTATTTTAAATATATTTAAAATTTTAAAATTAAGTAATCTGAATAAACACAAAATCAACTAGTTTTATGTACTAACTATAACTATCACTCTTCTTATTAATATGAGATTATTACAAAATAATATTTATTTAAAATTTTTAATTATTTAATAATAAATATTCATACACGTATGTAAAAAAATTATTCATACACATAACCCTAAATTTTAAAATCAAAAAAATAAAGATAAATCGACCATAAGTCTTTTAGCCATTTCACGAAGCTGCTATAAACGAACAAGGGCGAAAGAGATGACATTAGGCAAGCTGTTTACACAAATATAAAGAAACCCCATCAAGAAACTCGAACCGGTCAGAACTACAGAGGATCCAAAAAATTTATCCACTTTAAGTAATAAACTAAATAAATATATATACTTTTAGTAAGGATTCAAATTAGTTTTAGTTATTATGTGAATACATATAAACATTATAGACCAAGGGCTCTTCAAAATTATTTCTTGGGGACCAACACCCTTTAAGGCTCCATAGAGTATTCGTGGTTGAATAACAAAGTTTAGGGGTCGGAACCAACATTAGTCGTTGAAACAATCCCAACTTGCAGCCATGGAGATGAAGTTCCACTCGTATTGACGTCCTTTAGTTCACTTAGTTTTCCAAACATCATCGTACTGTCAGTTTTGTCTTCCTCATCTTGCTTAGAACTTTTACAAATATTGTTCTTAATCGTATCGTTGTAGTCAACTTGCGATTGGTGTTGATTATCTTCCTTTTCTTTGGCAATCCAGGGTTACAAATAGACTCTTGCTGAAACATCACAACTCGATCGATCAATGTGGTTCGGTCGTATGAGCTCGTTAGTTGAAGCAGGAAGATTGAGATCGAGCGGCTCAGAATCACCAACAAACCTTGATCTTTGGGTTTGCTGAATCTGGTTTAAATTGTCTTGAAATCGATGTAGCTTAAAGAAAGAGGAAGTGTGATCAGCGGGTGGATTCGATGTGATCCAGTGACATCTTTTATGCCCTCCTAGGGCTTGTCCAGACGAAAATACCCGGTGGCATATTGAACATACGTGTACATTTGATTTCTTTTTGGATGTAGAGGCTAATGAATAGACTCGAAATGCTGGTGTAGATTTGATTGGGGGAAACGTGTCATGATCATCATTGGCTAAACTATCGTCTTTACGATTACGATCATCGAGCGGAGCTGCGGAACATCCCTTAACTTTCCTGTGACTAGCTCTATGTCCACCCAATGCTTGATGTGAATTGAACACTTTCCTGCATGTTTTGCACTCAAAAAACCCTTTGGCTACACCTTTTCCCTTATCCATAGGTACCCTTGGCCTACATGCAATGGGAGAAATGAAACTCATTGTGTTTCTCCTCTCTTCCTCTTTGCTAGCCGAAGTACAAGACTCCTCAGGCTCGGTAACAAAAGGAGCAACAACGGTTGCATTAGATAACATCATCAAGCAATTGGCAACATCTAACTCTTCGCTTGATGGACAATCGGAGATCAATGATCTTTTCCTCTTAGACAGGTAACCCGAGCCTTTCCTCATCACGTCATTGTCGCCACCATGGGACCCTTGTGAGGAACCAAGCGATTCAGCATCCCTAGAGTTACATTTACCATGCTCAAGAATAGATTTCCATGAAAAGAACTCCTTGCCACAATTCTCACAAACCCTACAACTCTTTAATCGATTAGGGTCTGTTCTTAATCCGTAGATGCGCGTCTTGCCCGGTGGCACGATGTTCCCTCCTAAATTGTCTTCCCAATCACTCGCGGAATCGTCATCATCAATGTATGGGCTCTCGTTGCCTATTCCATGGGACCTCATGTGCCCACCAAGGGCTCTCCCACACCCAAATCGTTTGTTGCAAATTTTGCAGAAGTATTTGAACTCAAATTGTTGACCCACTTTAAAAGCCATATTAAGAAGGAAAATCTGGGAATTGAATTTCAATGAAGTGAAAGAAGAATGGGAAAAGAAGGGTGAGCTGATTGTTCTTGTATAGTGAAATGTTGTATGGTGATAATTAAGGGGGACAAGACAATAGTCCTAGTTTTTAGTTATAGTAATGGATTGGTTTAATTTTGTGGATGAAAAATATATATGGATTAGGAGAATAGAGCTAAATGGATTGGAGAATTAAGGTTTGAGGAGTGCTGGGGGTGACAAGTGGCAGGAGGAGAGGGTAAGAGACTTGGGTAATTTTAGGCTTAAAAAATGGATTTTGACAAAAACATTAAACTCGTTTTAAAAATAAGGATATACTACCTATTGGGTCACCTATTTATTCATGTAATTTTTTTTGGTCACTCAAGTTTACTATTTTTCATAATCATACATAACTTTATATTTTATTTCAATTTTGATCTCTCGACGTTAGATTTAACCGTTGACTTAATGGAACTGGTGATGTGGTATATTGTATAATAACAGTTTTGGTCTCCAAAACTTATATATCTTATCAAATTGATTCTAATTCAAAATAATTCAAAAAAACATCCTTGGTATTTAAAATTTTAATCAATTTGGTTCTTATTTTAATTTGAAATAATTTAATAATAATTTAGTGGCTTACTTTCAAGCCTAGTGAAGGCCTCTTTTTATTTCAATTCTATCTTTGTCAGTCATCCCTGAATTCTCCATAACACTCATCACAGTCTTCATGTGTCGTCGTTCATCCTTCTTTCATCTTCTAACATCTTCTTCAATTTTAGTATGTCTTCATTCCCTTGCGATATCGCAACAACGTTGCCACTCATCTGACGATTTTTTAGAACTCCTATCGCGCTAGTGCTCATCGCCGCCATCAAAATGACATCGCCACACATCCACCATCATCGTCGCTCATCTACAAACCACACACCCTTCGAATGCCACCTTTTCATTGTTCTCATTAATTCTCTCTCCTCGTTCGTCGCTCTCACATTTGGCTAACGTCTACTGGGCCCAACATGAAATCATTCTTTCAAAAATCTAGTTTTCAAAATTGACTTAATAACTCACGTGGAGTGTGAATGATTTCGATGATTGTAAGGCCTGAACGATGTTGTAAGAAGTCGACAAGGGGCGTAGGACCAACGTGGAGAGACAACAAAGACGACTGAAAAATCAGGTGTTGACGACGATCTTGATTTGAAAGAGGTATTTTTGGATTTTATGTTGGATCAAATTGAAGAATTTCTACATATTGAGGATTTTTTAAATTAGTTGAAATTAGGACCAATTTGATAAAATGTGTAAGTTTTGAGGACTAAAACAATTATTTTACCATGCAACATCACTTACATTACATTAATGGTCAAACCTACCTATGGGGACAAAACACAAACCAAACGTAGTATTAGGTATCATTTAAAAAAAGAATTAAAAAAAAGAATAAACAGATGAAAAAATAAAACTGTGAGCATATATATTATATACAAGAACTACAAACAAAAGTTATATCTTAAGTGGCACACTATGTTTGCTGAAAGTAATTTGTATAAATGCATGCGTCGGCATTAAAAGTTATTTATTAAGTTTGAATATAAAATATGAACATAATTATATTTATTAATTTTTTAAAATAATTTTTAACTAATATACAAACTTTTATAATAATTATAATTTTTTATAGAAAGTAGCTAGTTTTATTAAAATTGAAAATATCCAAAAATACAATGAAAATTTACAAGCATAACCGTAAACTTAAAATATAATTATAAAATTTTCCTATTACGATTGAGACAAAAATTAGTCACCTAAATCACATAATCACCAAAGAAGGAAAAGGTTAAAAAACCTAACAAAAAAACTCGAATAAGATAAAGATACAAACAAATTTGATTGCATCGGTAAACAAACCACAAAAGAGGATGAAACTACCGAAATCGACAAATCGCAAATCAGAGTCAAACAACGTGAGAAAATTTTCTACAAACGCAAAACGCGTATCCAAATTTATCTGAGGGTCCAAAGCAGGGAAGATCATCATGATAATAAATAAGCGTCATCTTAATCAGTCGTGGCAATATCAAATCCAACCCTGAGAAAAAAGATAAACAAAAACAACGATAAAAAACATAAACAACGGAAAAAAACCGTAAACCACCAAAAGACAGAAAAAAATATATATCGCAAAGGCATAGATAAACGTGTAATAAAAGTAGAGAATATGTCACAAATACATAATTATTCTTATTAAAAAAAATAACCGATGGACGGCAACCAGCATTAAAATCGGTGTTGTCGTCGGTTAAACAAAATCAAAAAAGAAAAAAATTAAATTGATAAATAAAATAGACATAAATTGTAAAAAATAAAAAATAAAAAGAGGATGAAGAAAGCAACTAGGTTTTCATAATAATTATAATTAAAAGTACTATATTTATTTATCTATTATTACTAAATTGTTTTAGTTCTTTTATAGAAATATATTTTCCTCTAAAATAATACGTATTCCATTTAATTTGTATAAAATTCATATATATAAATCATGTTTTCAGAAATATTATATCTGAATTTTTCGAAAAAAATATATTTATATTATTTATTTTTTTAAGAAAAATAGTTATAATTTAAGCATAAATATTAAGATGATTTAATATATAGTACTAATGTATACATGTAATTACGTATTAGTCCGTGCATGATGCGAGAATGCAAACTAGTTTGATATAAGAGTCTCACTCAAGTAATAAAGGTAAGAGAACGTACGTCAGGTATCATTGTTGAGAAGGATAATCATAAACCAGAACATAAAATCTAAAATTTGAACATGAAATACATAAAAAATATATATGTTTATCACATTGAACCAAATAAATAAAATCTTTTATAATGATCCAATATTTTAAACTTAACGATCATATGAATACATGTAAACATTACTGTTTATACACCGAGGGTTCGTAATCAGTTCATGGGAACCAAGGCCCCCTTTTGCTTCAAGTACAATCTGTGTAATTGAATCAAAAATCTAAGGGTCGGAACCTACATTAGTAGTTGAACTTGAAACGATCCCAACTTGCAGCCATGGAAATGAACTTCCACTTATATTGACGTCCTTTAGTTCACTCAGTTTTGCTAACATCATCGTACTGTGAGTTTTGTCTTCCTCATCTTGCTTAGAACTATTACAAATGTTCTTAATCGTATCGTTGTAGTCAACTTGCGATTGGTGTTGATTATCTTCCTTTTCTCTGGCAAACCAGGGTTGCAAATAGACTCTTGCTGAAACATCAAAACTCGATCGATCAATGTAGTTCGGTCGTATGAGATCGTTAGTTGAAGCAGGAAGATTGAGATCGAGCGGCTCAGAATGACCAACAAACCTTGATCTTTGGGTTTGCTGAATCTGGTTTACATTGTCTTGAAACCGATGTAGCTTAAAGAAAGAGGAAGTGTGATTAGCGGGTGGATTCGATGTGATCCAGTGACATCTTTTATGCCCTCCTAGGGCTTGTCCAGACGAAAATACCCGGTGGCATATTGAACATACGTGTACATTTGATTTCTTTTTGGATGTAGAGGCTACTGTATCGACTCGAAACGCTGGCGTAGATTTGATTGGGGGAAACGCGTCATGATCATCATTGGCTAAACTATCGTCTTTACGATTACGATCATCGAGCGGAGCTGCGGAACATCCCTTAACTTTCCTGTGACTAGCTCTATGTCCACCCAATGCTTGATGTGAATTGAACACTTTCCTGCATGTTTTGCACTCAAAAAACCCTTTGGCTACACCTTTGCCCTTATCCATAGGTACCCTTGGCCTACATGCAACGGGAGTGATGAAACTCATTGTGTTTCTCCTCTCTTCCTCTTTGCTAGCCGAAGAACAACACTCCTCAGGCTCGGTAACAAAAGGAGCAACAACGGTTGCATTAGATAACATCATCAAGCAATTGGCAACATCTAACTCTTCGCTTGATGGACAATCGGAGATCAATGATCTTTTCCTCTTAGACAGGTAACCCGAGCCTTTCCTCATCACGTCATTGTCGCCACCATGGGACCCTTGTGAGGAACCAAGCGATTCAGCATCCCTAGAGTTACATTTACCATGCTCAAGAAAAGAATTCCATGAAAAGAACTCCTTGCCACAATTCTCACAAACCCTACAGCTCTTTAATCGATTTGGGTTTGTTCTTAATCCGTAGATGCGCGTGTTGTCGGGTGGCACGATGTTCCCTCCTAAATTGTCTACCCAATCACTCGTGGTGTTGTCGTTGTCAATGTACTGGCTCTGGTTGCCTATTCCATGCGACCTCATGTGCCCACCAAGGGCTCTCCCACACCCAAAACGTTTGCTGCAAATTTTGTAAAAGCATTTGAACTCAGATTGTTGATCCACTATAAAAGCCATATTAAAAAGGAAAATCTCTGGGAATTGAATTTCAATTAAGTGAAAGAATAATGGGAAAAGAAGGGTGAAGCTGTTTGTTCTTTTATGGTGAAATGTTGTATGGTGACAATTAAGGGAACAAGACAATAGTCCTAGTTTTTAGTAATAGTAAATTAATAATGGATTGGTTTAATTTTGTGGATGAAAAATATATATGGATTAGAGAGGGGGGGGCAGCTTAATGGATTGGAGCGTTGAGGTTTGAGGAGTGCCGGGGTGACAAGTGGCAGGATGAGAGGGTCAGAGACTTGGGTAAAAATACTAGGCTTAAAAAATTGATTAAGATAAAAACATTAAACTCGTTTTAAATATAATAATTAATTGGGTAAATTACACTAAATTCTATTGAATTTTAAGTATATGTATCGTTTATACATCTAAACTTTCAATTACTCCAATTATAGCACTAGGCTTTGGGTTTGACTTTAGTTATACAATAAGCTGTTAAATTTTAACGATATGATGATGTGGATAAGTCTTTCTGTCACTGTGATGATGTGGACAAAACGACATCGTTTTGGTATGCCTATTGATACCCAAAATGATGTCATTTTAGGCACTAAACTTTATGAGTGTATCAATTTTACCACTAAACTTTTAAATAATTCACTTTTTGACACTAAACTTTTTCGGCAACTACCGGCAACCAATCGTTGTCCATCACATATAGTCATTCACAACAAGATTGATATTAAAATGTTCACACCCCACACATTTTTTCTTATCAAAATGGTTTTCCACGAAACTCACTCCAAATCAATAAAAAAAATCTAAAGATCTGATGTGCTAATACTACAATCTCCTTCCATGACCATATGATGAGGCTAATTTTGATGTATGTTGTTAATCTTCTCGAAATAATGCTTCTCACCTTTCTAATTATTGAACAAACCCCTCAAATCTTATAAAGCCCCCAAACCCCTTAAAATAATGGACTTTTGGTTTAGTTTCATTAATTTTGGATGGATTTCGTAAAAAAAAAATTAGGAGAAGAAAAAGAAGTGAAATGCGAATATTTTGATATTGATCTTATCGTTAAAAGCGACCAATGCTAGGCGGTAATTCATTGTCAATGATGACAAAAAAAAGTGCAATGCCAAAAAGTGAATTGTAAGTTTAATGGCTATAGATCCCTAAATTTTAGTGTCTAAAATAGTGTCATTTTAGGAATCAATAGTAGCACCAAAATGGTTTTGTTTTGTTCATGTCATCACTCTATTTGAAATTTAATTGTCCAATAGTATAATTGAAATTAAAACAAAAGTTTAATGTTATAATTGGAGCAATTAAAAGTTTAATAATATAATGATACACTATCTAAAGTTTAGTAATATCTGGTGCATTTTACCCTAATTAATTATATATGAAAATTTAATTTTAATTCAATTGTTGATTAAAAAAACTTTTATTATCCACCTTTATTCCATTATTGCCTAACTACTAGGGGTGAGCAAAATTCGTCTCGACTCGAAAAACTGAATTTTTCGACTTGATTCTACTCGAATTGACTTCAGTTGCAATTTCATAAACTCTACTCAAAAAAATTTCAAGTTCAAATCGAGTTGTAAAATGCAACTCGAATAACTCGAAATTTTTAGTAATTAGTGGATTTATTTTCATGTTTGAGTCGAGTCCTTGGACTTTGTATGATATATGCATATCAAGTATGAAAAAAACATGAAGAAATATATTTGCATTGTATATATGGTTATAGAAAATCACTTAAGTTGGAATGAAATAATATTATAATATTATAAATATTAAACAAAAACTAAAAAAATCGACTCGACTCAACTAGACTTGAATTTTATAAACTCGACTCGACTCAAAAAAATTCAAATTAAGTCCGAATTGTAAAATATGACTCACCAAATCAATTTTTTTTACTCGACTCGATCGAACGCTCACCTCTACTCACTACTATTAGTTTCATCCCTTAAATATCCGATAAATTGAAAAGAAGTTTTTGGGTAAATTACACTAAAAATCACTTAGCTTTAGTGAGTGTATGCATTATATCACTGAACTTTAAGTTATTTCAACTACGACATTAAATTTTAATTTTGACTTCAATTATACTATATCATTGAGCCGTTAAATTTTAACAGCATGATGACATGGACAAACATTTCCATCACTATGACGACATGGACAAGATAATATTGTTTTGGTTGAACTATTGATATCGAAAAGGAGTCATTTTAAGCACTGAACTTTTGGTGTGTGTCAATGTTGTCATTAAATTATTAAATTATTTACTTTTAGGCACTAATTTTTTTGGGTCATCACTCGCACTCAACCGTCACCCGTCATCATTCGCTAGTTGATGCAAGATTGATATCAAAATATTCACATTTCGCTCTTCTTTCTTCTCATTGGATTGATTTTTCATAAAATCCACTAACAATGAACGTTCAATCATCATGTTGCAGTTGTTGGTGCTCAAACCCGTGATCTCTAGGAACAACAACAATTCATTTAGTTGTGTATTAAACTAGTCAATTTGATTTATAAATTTTAATATCTCATAATCGATCGATATTATACGAATAAAATTAACTTAACCGACAATGATTTATTCGAATGCGTTAACTAAATAGACTATAATCCATTTATGCTGAGAAATTTAGGTGGGAAAGAGGGTATAGATTTTGGGAAAAAGAGAAATTAAAAGAAAAGGAAGCATGTGGTGATCTCATCGTCCAAGCGTTTGAGGCGCCAATCATACACTCTTCATGATATGGCTGCCTATCACATTCACGTCAACGCTGTTTACAACAGCTAAATATGAAATCTTTTGGGGTCCCTCGGTTGAAAATTAGCACAAGTTTTTCTAACTTTAATGCAAATAACAAAACAAAATCGACCAATCCAAATCGGTCCCATTATTAATCATCCTTGATAAGTGTTTAAGAAAATCTATAAAGCTCATAAAGACGACTTATCTTAAGATCATATATATGGTTCAGATTATCCAACAGGACAGAGTCGATTAAGAAATGGCAAATGGAGATATTTGTAAGTGGGATCCTTTGGGAGCAAAACGAGTGGTGACTCCTAAATACAACTTGACAAATGAGTATTCAATCATTTAAATGTCCATCTTTTTGTGAACACCACACGTTAAGATGCCTCCTTTAAGACATGGGAATCTTAACAAAAAAAATACAGATGTCGATTGATTACCCACCATTCAATTACAGTACAGGTAGACTACCCAATGATCAAGTTTGGGGTTCTTTTTTTGTTACCAGGAAAGGCATCAATGATGAGAATGACCTATCTACAAGGCTCATACGAGTATTGATATTACAGATTCAAAGAGAACAATTTGTAGCAACTCAACTACAATCCAGAAACCCTGTGCAAGTGTAAGAATTGAAACCCAAGTTTTTGTAATGATATATGAAAACGTAGCTAAAAGTAATGGCTTAGCTCCTAGAACCAGAAGCAGGTGGTTGTTGCATTTGATGATACATAGCAGCCAGCCGGCTGTAAGCATCCATGGTCATCGGCTGCATCAAACAGACGATATATTCATAATTTATATTTACTGCATACACTATTACATCATATGTACGTTATCCTTAAGACGCACCAATGGTACCTGTGATTGGCACGCCATGAATGCGGAAAGAGGGTCCGGCATTGCAGCTGCAGCAGAGGCCGCCTGTTGTAGCCGTTCGCCGGAGCCGTCCCAGGAAGTCATGTTCATGAAAGGATTAGGCATAACGGGTGAGATGCCGGCGATGTTGGGACGCCCCATAGTGTTCATATCCATCACACCCATGCCCATCCCCATCCCCATGCCCATCCCCATTCCCATTCCCATCCCCATCCCCATCGCTGGTGCCATCATCGACATTTGGAGTTTCTGTTGCATTGCTATCGGCAACATCATTGGCGGAATGTTCATCATTTGAACTTGTGCTTGCAATTGTTTCAGGTAGTCAATCACTTCGTCTAACATTGAAGCTTTGTCCGTCTGTAATTGATCAAAAATTAAATAAACTGCCTGCACGACAAAGTACTAGACTTTTCAATTTATGCCCATTATATTAGAATTGCACAAGGCTCCTATACCAAGTTTTCACTTCGCTATAAACGTGTATACCAACCATATCAAGCATCCAAGAGGAGGATCAAAATCGAAGGAATCTTCATAACTTTACGACTAATCTCAAATATGCCATGCCAACTATTCTTTCACTAAGAATAAAATAGACACAGAGTCTATGCTAAAAAGCTAGTTAAGAATAAAGACATGCATGAAAGAGAATCTTAGGTTTATATATATTATATATTAATTTGAAATGATCATAAGATAATATCAAATTAAATTTTTTTAGTTAGTTGACAACAGAAGCACAAAACATAAATTTTGTCTGGGTAAAAGTAACTCTCAAATTGTAACAGATAGAAAGTAAAAGGCACCTTTTAGATTTTTTTCAACGAAAAATCGATGGAAATCCCACCAAAAAGCTAGTAGTGGAGAGGACATTGAAGACCAAAACTGGAAAAAACTTCACCACAAAATCATTAAGTTGACAGTGAAAGACTCTAGACTGCTGCAATTTATTCGTCAGCTTTGTTGTTATTGTTTTTCTATCACTGTAGTATACTCTTACGTGGGTCCTTCACGCAATTAAAGTTTGTTAGCAATCTGCCAATCCATATAGATAACCCTCAATCTCCTTTTTATCTTCAACTTTTTACGAAGTTATAATAGTTGGATTTCCTTTTTCTAAAAAAATTGTTTTTTAGGTATAAAAATAATATAATAATTATAATAACATAAATTAGTAATAAGTAGTCTGTAAAGTTGATATCAGTTCTGATATGGAAATTTGTGGAAATGAAAGGACACATAAGAATTATTGGTACAGCTACTGTTTCTTGGTTTGACCATTGTCGAAATTTGCAGTGATTTTTAGCCATTAACCTACCTCCGTACGTTACAACAACTGACAGAGCTGACATAGAAACGTTTCGTACCTTGCTGGAATTTGGAACCAGCTTCTGTAACGTCTTCATCCTTTGGTTGATCTTATCTCTTCTTTTCTGGAAAATCACCCAAATAATTAAATGCATGCTTATAAACTTAATTATAATCTTCAAGGTGGCAAGAGCATACACGTTCGGACTGGTTATGGATAGCAGCAGCTCTGCTCCTTTTATTTGAAGCTGAAGATTTCCCAGTTTCCTTCTTGTCTTCTTCAATTTCCTCCCTCTTTAACATTAACCAAAAGAAAAATCACAAACAATATATATATAAATTTATAGTTCCAGCATGGAATAAGGGTTAAATGGAAGAACTTTACTTGGGCTCTACTGTCACAAACAGAGTCATGATCATCAGCCGTGGTGGTGGCCTTTGTACAGTGCCTCGTCGAGCCCGTGTTTTCCCGGGAACCGAGGGAAGTAGAAGTAAAACCCACGCCCAAATCCTTGTCATGCGTACCGAAAGTAACGTATTGGCTATCTAGCCCGAACGTGGCACTGGCGCTTGCACTTTGTTCCTTGCCGCTCCACTCGGTTGTTACGGCGGGAACATACGCCGCCGCCTCCCGTGTCCGTTTCCCGGTAACAAGCACCTGTTCATGTCGAGTGCCGGCCGGCACTCTACAGGATCCCACCAAGCGAGATCCTCTGAGTCCTGGTACGGATTCCATGACGTGTGAGTTCCGGACCTCCGTCGACCTTTTCGAGCAAGGGACCAGAGCATCCGCAGCAGAACGGTGGTTGTCCAAACAAGATACAATTTCATTCCCACCGCCGTTAAGAGACACCTTAAGATACGGCACGCGAGTGGCCTGGTTCACTATGGACTCCAAGGTGCCATTAGCCCGTGGTTTATCCCAAGGAGTGTACTTAGAAGGAGCGTTGGAAATCAATGGCTTAGCCGGTACACGTGTCGGACCTAAACTATGCATGGCTAGCTGGCCATTCTCCCATGTCAATTCCGCCACTTCATACTCCGACCTGCCAAGTAAAACACAAACATCAATAAATCCAAGAATTTAACATCAAATCTTCAGTTGAGATCATCTCGGCGCTTACGTGTGACCATCGGGTGCGGTGAGGCTGGAGTTAGAGCGGAGCGAGTGGTGCGTTGCGGCATGATTATCGTCCAGATCCCAACTGGGAACGCACTGACTCATTTTAAAGAAACTAGTTGCCGTGTTTGGTTTCGACGCTTTGTTTCATAAAATTCATGTTTCGAACAAGTACGTACTCATATGAACATCAGTGGTATGGTAAAATGGGGGTTCCTAGATTTTATCATAAAGGAGATAAGAATTATCACAATCAATCACAGAGAGAGAATCATTCTGGTCCATATATGTATGTTAAAAGGGCATATTTACAGAAAACGTGCTCCAACTATTTTATTCATCATAATAAACAGTTTACAAAACTAAAGCCTTTATATACAGCCACTAACAGTTACTAGCCTCACTAAGAAACTAACTAATTAACAACAACAACCTAACTAATTATCAACAGCTTAACTAAACAACTAACACTCCCCCTCAAGTTGGTGGTTAAAGATGTTAATTAACCCACCCCAACTTGGAACACAAATATTCATGTTGTTGAACTCCCAAAGTTTTTGTTAGAATGTCTGCCTGCTGATTTGTTGTCTTCACATACTCTGTTTCAATTATTCCCTCTTGAATCTTTTCTCGAACAAAATGATAGTCAATTTCAATGTGCTTTGTTCTTTCATGAAAAACTAGATTTACTGCTATTTGAAGGGCTGCCTTATTATCACACATCAATTTTGTTGGTCCTGTGTTTTTAAACCCAAGTTCATTCAGCAAACCTGTTAACCACACTATTTATGCAAAAGTCATCGCCATGCTTCGGTATTCTGCCTCTGCAGATGACCTTGCAATTGTATTTTGTTTCTTGGACTTCCAAGATAACAAAGAGTCCCCTAGTTTTACACAAAAACCTGTTACAGACCTCCTTGTCATCGGGCAAGTTGCCCAATTTGAATCACAAAAAGCCTGAAGTTGGCATTGACTTTCTGCACTCAGTAACACTCCTTGACCTGGACTGCTCTTGATATACCTGACCACCCTCAAAGTTGCATCCAAGTGTATTTTCCTTGGTTGCTGCATGAATTGACTCAGTAATTATACTGAATAAGCAATATCAGGCCTTGTGTTGGTAAGGTAAATTACCTGTCTCCCCCTGACTGCAAAAACCCTCAGGTAAGGACATGTATACCTCTTCAACTAGATCACCTTGGAGGAAGGCATTGTATACATCCATCTGAAAAATAGGCCATTGATGAATAGAAACAAGGGCCAGGACTGTTCTGACAGTGACCATCTTTGCCACAGGTGAGAAGGTCTCAACATAATCAACCATTTCTCTTTGAGTGTATCTTTTAGCAACGAGACGTGCTTTAAACCTCTCCACTTCTCCATTCAAATTATATTTGATACGATACACCCACTTACTTCCAATGGGAGTCTTATTAGAAGGTAAGGGAACCAATGACCATGTATTATTAGATTCCAAAGCTAAAATCTCTTCATTCATGGCTTTAATCCACTCAGGATTTTGAATGGCTTCAGCATTAAGTCTTAGGCTCAATTAAATGAGAGATAGAAGAAAGGTAAAGCTAAGTTTTAGCATGAATATGAGAATAAGAAAGAAAGTGAGAAATTGTATAAGTACTTGGAAGAGAGGAAGATTGGTAGGACTACACAAAATCATGTAACCAAGCAGACTGTTTTTTGACCCTAGTAGACTACCTAGTAGGAATAGAAATGCTACTTGATGAAGAGTCATCAGAAATAATGGGTTGAGGTGAAGGATGAGGTAAAAAAGAATTATCTGTTGAAGCTTGAGGTGATGCAGACCCAGAAGGTACAGGAGATTGTGTGTGAGAGGGCATGACCAGAAAATCAGAATCAGAAAGTTCTTGAATAGGAAAAAATAGGGAAGAAGAAGAAATGGGAAACTTGAAGGGGAAAATGTCCTCATGGAACTTTACATCTCTATTCATAAAGAATGTTTGTTTTTCAAGATTAAACAAGAGGTAACCTTTTTGAGTGGCAGAATAACCCATAAAGATAGAAGGTATTGCTTTTGGAGAGAACTTATCCTTGTAGTTTGGTTGAGTGGCATAACATAAACAACCAAAAACTCTCATATGAGACAAATTGGGAGGTTTACCATGAAGAAGTTCAAAGGGACTTTTGCAAGCTAAAGAAGAAGAAGGCAGCCTGTTAATGATATAACAGGTTGTGTTGACACATTCCCCCCAAAACTTAACAGGAACTTGGGAATGAAATTTGAGGGCTCTAGCTACCTCTAACAAATGCTTGTGTTTTCTTTCAGCAATGCCATTTTGCTGAGGAGTATGAACACAAGAACTTTGATGAATAATACCCAATGAAGAAAAAAAAGAAGAACACTCACTAGCAAAAAAACTCAGAACCATTGTCACTTCTAATGAATTTAATTGTGACTCAAAAATGATTTTTTACATAGGAAAAGAATTGTTTTAAAGAGAGGATTGCATCACTCTTAAGCCTCAACAAAAAAAATTCAAGACATCCTTGTGTGATCATCAACAATGGTGAGAAAAGACCTATGACCACTATGAGTGGAAATCCTATAGGGTCCCCATAAGTCAATATGTATCAAATCAATAGGTGTAGAAGCTCTAGATATACTGTGGGGAAAAGGTAACCTAGATTGTTTAGCAAGAGGACAAATGGAGCATTTATGGACACTGTCAGCATCAAACTTATAAGATTGTAAATATGGGATTTTATGTAAACTAGAGAAAGAGGGGTGTCCTAAACAAGCATGCCAAATCTTTGTATTACAGATAGTTGAAAGATTCATACATTTTGAAGAACTCAAAGCAGGAGTACAAGAAAAGGAATGATAATAAGGAACAGAAAAAATACCAGAATCAAAAGTTGAAGAATAAAAAAATACAGCCCACGAGACTCTCTACCAATCCCCTTCATCTTTCTAGTGGAGAGATCCTGTAAAATGCAGAAGTCAGGATAAAAGGAAACAGAACAATTAAGCTCTTTGGTCAGTTTGGAAACAGACATAAGGTTATGTGCAAAATTTGGTATAAACATGACATTTTTAAGGGAATTATTCTGGTCAAGGTAAACAGAACATGTATGTGTTATGGGAGATGTTTGACCATTAGGTAAGTGTACAAGTCTAGAAGCTGATGTACATGGAACAGGAGATATTAATCTATGAAAATCTGATAACATATGGTCAGTGGCCCCTGAGTTTAATATCCAATTGAAAGAAAAATTTGTAGTGGCAGAGTTAATACCTGCAGTATTTGCTGCAGCAGGTGTCACTGTATCCACTGAAGGTGCCTTGTTCAAGAGATGAAGTATCTGATCATACTGAGCCTTTGTAAACATAGGAACATTGGAGACAGATTTAGGTTGGGACTCAGAACTTGACTGATTGTGAGACCCGAGAGGAGACCTAGTAGAGGCCAAAACAACCTGACCACCTTTCTTCTTGGAAAACCTAAAATCAGTCAGGAATCTTATCAATCAGTAGCAATTCTCATGTTTATGCCCTCGAATTTTACATTAATCACACACACCAGAGAATTTCTTTCGATCAGCAATCCCAGCAGATGTAGAGTATAAAGTTGAGACCTCAGAGATTGGAGAAAGGGCAGAAGAGTGAACCCTCGGCAATGGCTGCATAAGCAGAATTTGACTTCGCACAACAGTATACGTCTCATTGAGACCCATGAGAAATTGAAATAATTTCTACTGTGTATATTGAGCTGTTGTGCGTTGTGAAAGAGCACAACCACAAGGGGAAATGGGAGCCAAGGCTTTATACTCGTCCCAGAAAGATTTTAATCGAGTGAAATACGTTGAGATGGAAGAATCACCTTGATTCAAGAGCGCAATTTCTCGATGAAGGAAGAAAGATCTGGAACCATCAACCTTGGCAAATCGCTCCCTCAAATCTTACCAAACCGACGCAAAAGTAGATGAAAAAACGATCCCAACGGAGAGCTCCTTGCTGACGGTATTAAGGATCCAGGATAAGACGAGAGCATTACACCTCTCCCACTGAGGATGTAAAGATTCGTCGAAATCTTCTCTTCGACAATCACCGGTGACAAAGTCTAATTTGTTCTTCGCAAGCAGGGCAATCCTCATCGATCGACTCCACACACCATAGTTCTCGATGCCGAGAAGCTGATGCGAAACAAGGAGAAAACTCGGTGCATCGGAAGCATGCAGGAATAGCGGGTGATTAAAATCGAAGGTTGAATTCTCCATGGCTGCAAATGAGGGGAAAAGTAGGTGACTCATGATACTATGTTAAAAGGGCATATTTATAGAAAACGTGCTCCAACTATTTTATTCATCATAATAAACAGTTTACAAAACTAAAGCCTTTATTTACAGCCACTAACAATTACTAGCCTCACTAACAAACTAACTTATTAACAACAGCAACCTAACTAATTATCAACAGCTTAACTAACTAAATATCTGCCAACTAACAATGTATATATACATGTCGTGCGAAAGGGAAGTGAAGCTTGAAATAAATAACGCAAAATAAATACGAGATGATGATGGGTAACTGGACTGAGCCTGGCTAGCTAGCTGGCTTAATATATTCTGCCGGCGGAGACACCCACAGGAAAAGAGCCCAAAATGAGACTTATAAAAGCAATGGGTAAAGTACATGGAAGGTCGTTGATCTATATTCAAATAACCATTTTGATCACTAACTTTTAGAAAGTTATATTATAATAATTAAATTTATCAAACCATTATAAAATGTTCACGTCAATACTATAATTAATTATAAATTTAATGATTATTTTATAATTATTTAATAAATTTAATAATTATTTTATAATTTTCAAAAGTTTAAGGATCAAAATATCTATTTTAACATAATTCAGTATCTCTCATCTACTCTGACCAAAGAAAATTAAAGAAAAAAAAATCGAGGGAGTTGTGGAGCGGGATAAAACCATAAAATAGAGGTAGCAGCATTTAAGAGTAAGGTGAGAATGAGGGGCCGCGTTTCAAGGCTGTGGAACGGAAGAGGCTATGCAAGAACTAATAACTGTGTGCTGGACCCTTCATCAACTAGACACGTGTATTTGCTGGCGTTGCAGAGGATCAGCTTGCCGTTCTATTGGTTCTACACGTGTACCGCTTCCACGTGCAAAGAACTATACAAGATCTATGCTATA